TCTATCAAAAATTGAGTCAACTAATGGAACTAATATATACACGTACATATATAGTATACATCTATATATCTCTATATGAATCAAGGAATCAAGATCTATATATCGCAAATATCAAGTTGTTTCTACATTATAATGCATCGAATATGCTAAGAACTAAGTCTGAAGCAAGACTTGTTGGAAAATACAGAGAAAATTAAGGCAACTATTGAGACTGATATATATATATATAAATACATACATATATAGTATACATCATGTAGATAAACCTCTAAATACATTTATATATGTAACGCCATCAGCCCGAGCGAACTTCTCACGCTCATTTTTATTGGCTCTTGAGAGCCACAGCACATACCAAATGGTATATCAGTCCATTTCATACCACATCAGATCTTTTGCATAGCTACGATTGGCACGGAGGACTGACTGTTCAGCATAATCAATTTGTAGATCTTATCAGCTCGATTGCGAACTCCAGTCGTTGACATCTGTTGTCTTTCTCTCGGATGTCGAAGACATTGCTAACGCTCGGAGTTCGATTTCCTAGAGCGAGCTCTCATTAATTTTTAATTTTCTTTTTGTTAAAAATAATAAAATGTTTGTATATACATATAGAACTAGGCCTACTTATTCAAAGCGATATATTATTATATGGGAAATGAAAGGTGTTATGGTAGAAGGGGTCGTGGCAGACCCAATAAGACTTGTTTCGAAAGTACTCTACCATCTAAATTTCAATCGAGCCTATTCCATATGAATAATAAGGAATACAAATACATATAAATACCATTAAATTTGTATTAAAAAACTTCAATATGAATTCTATATTTCATACACAACTAAATCTATGCTTCTTTACAAATTTCTGACATTTGAAAAGAATTCTTTTGAATTCGGGCGATTCTAAGGATTCTATTCCATACATATAAAAACCCTAATGGCGTCTGCCTCTGATGGTTGAACTTTCAACCCTAATTGAAATTGTGAATGGATCTAGAAAGACAGAGGCAGAGAGCCAGCGTGTGTGTGAGAGGGGTAGAACAATAATGGATTAGAATTATTTCTATTATTAGCAGAGAAATGGAACAGAAGCAAGCGAAAAATCGAAGAAGTAGAACGATAATTGAGTCAATATTGAGAGTAAATTAAAAAAAATTTAAGTTGAGAGAGAGAAATCTAGAAGAAGCTCTTAGAATCTGACAAAAGCTCATCAAAAGTTTAAGAATTATAGAAGATGGCATTACGAAAAAACAACTCCACATATGTATATGAGAAAACATTTCCGAATCTAGATATTCCAAAACATTGAGATCGTGAATGAAAACGAGCATAGGTTTCCTCATTCAGTATATTTTGCTTATCTGATAGCTAAGGCAATGCTTAAGTGCGGCGACTGCAAGCGGCAATAAATCGTTTTATTGTCGTTAAGAGAGAACAAAAAATAAAAAATAAAAATGAATATACATATGTATACAAAAAAATTAAAAACAAAACAAGTTTCCGCACAACTCTTTCAGCCATTTGCTTATAGACAATATTTTTCTCCGACTCTATGATTAACAAGTAGCCGGCGCGGGGCATCTATTATATCTCGTTAAAGTCCAAAACCCGATCGAAGACAAACTCTCTATAATTACTCGACATGACTATGCGATTAAAATCAACCAAAGAGAGCGAGAGAGAGAGAGAGAGAGAGAGAGAGAGAGAGAGAGAGAGAGAGA